TTCCTAAAATTATATTTTTTATTTATAAAAAATATCACAAAAACATGTCAACTCAAAGTCTTTCTGCTTCTACCCCAACCTCTTTTGTCCCAACCACTAACAAACCCTAATTCTTATAATTATATAGACTTTATCTTTCAATTCTAATAAAAATAAATGATGGGAGTTAAATTGAAATAAAAATAGTGTGTATAAGAACTAATATTAGATGTTTTTAACTATAAAAATAAGAGGATAAAATTTATGAAATTATAAGTACCAAAATAGTAATTAAACAAAAATTTGAGATATTTTCTTAAGAAAATAATTTCATTATCTTTAAAATAAAATATTACAAGACAAATAAAATATTTTATAAAGAGTAATAATTTATCCTAACTGATCAAAGACAATTTCATATGCATGTGTCAAATTCTTCAAGATAAAAATCATTAAATAAACTAGAAATAAGAAAACGAATTCTGTAATACAAATCACAAGAATGTTTGCTATCTGTCAAGTGATATCACACCCGATGACAGTGAAAAATATTTATTCAAATTTCTTGATCAATGATAAGTCATTTAACATTTTCTCGATTGCTTCATCATCCTGAGCCCGTCCTCTTGTCTACATTAAAAAACAAATACTATTAGTGTAAAAGATATAATAGTTGTCCTTATATTTATTATTCAAGTATATATTGTGCAAAAATGTAAATTGGATAGCATAGGCATACATAATATTTGCAAGTAACTGGTAGGATTATTTTACCCCACCAGAAAACGCATAAAACCTCATGCAAGATCACAACCAAACATGTATGAATATAAATCAATAATCGTAGTAATTTACTTGCAGAGAAATATTTTAACCATGCCCAACATGGCAAATAAGTAAGCTCGCGAGGGTTACAGTAAATGACGCTACGCAACCAAAGTTTCATGTTTAGAGGCAGGATAAGTGAAGGGAATTGTTTCTGAGATGATTTTAAGGAGAGAAAAATAAGAGAACAGTTAACATAGCAAAACCATTCAATTATCAGCATTTACGTTTTTGAGAGTTCTCCACTATGGAGAATTCTGTAAACTAATAAAAGAGCAGAAATTTATCAAAACATATCATATTTGCTTTCATTAAATCCTCTATTTCCTTTCTTGTTCATTTTTAACAAGCACCAAAGGGAGAATGAAAATCATATAAATTTCACCTACCAAAAACAAAAAGAACAAATTTACATACCTAATACAGAATGAGGGAGAAGCAAAAGAATATACCTTGATAGATGGAACCATAGCAATGGCTTCCTCCACAGTTTCCGGGCAAAGATTGCCAAGGACACACAACTGCAACAGATTCATTTGAACAAAGATTCATATATTATAATATGTGAACATACAACTCACTCAACTTTTCTAAATAAAATGTGAACCCTTGCTTCCTAAACTGAATTCATGAAGGAAATAAGCATATTACCTCAAACTCAGTTAATTGATATCTTGCCAGAATTCTGTATGCCAGTTAAGATCACAATTTCGCAGTAAGGCTTTAAATTTCAAGTTTCTTAGCATTTCCTTGAAAAGTGGAATTAACATATACCAATTCTCAGCAGTACCAAATGAGGTACAATAGTTCTTTAATTTATCAAAATACATAGACACAATTGAATTGAAGGAAAATCCAAAATTGATATATTAAACAGTCCCATATTTTCATGGGAAACATAGATAGAGAATATTCCCAAAAAACAATCTTTCCTGGGAATATCATTTTTCAATTAACAACCCAAACTTGGAAAACTAACATTCCCAACAATTTTTTATAAAGGACAGGACATTGACACCATCATAATTTGACCAAAATTAAGTTAACGGACAGAGAAAATGGAAAATGGGTTATTCAATTTAGTTAAAAAGGATACTCTCGAACTTGTCTAACAGCATCAGGATTTTTATAACGGCTGAAACGCTTCACATACTGCAATGATTTTTCAAATACCCTGAAAAAAAAGGGAAAACAAAATCAGCACTATAAGGTGCTAATCATGCCTGGAAAAACTGTCAATTGGGATCAGGAAGTTTGCAGACATGTTTTATAAGGTTAATATTGTTACATTTAGGGGACACCAAAGTGGAATACGTTTTTCAGCCATGTAATATAAGAGAAGATATTGAGGAATTAAGTGCAACTGTGCAAGCCAATCATAACAAAAACTAACTATTCTGAGGGCATCAGAAAACATTATTCCAGGACCTGTGTCAATTAACCATGAACTTGATAAAGAATTTAACTTACTGAGAAATTTGACTCGTGGGATCATCAGATGTCTGTTGAAGCTGCTCATACTTGTGCTCAAGAATCAATGCAACTTCACAGTTCATTAAGCACTTTGCCTTCAAAAACTCTGAAAAAATACTATTTCATTAGTGTGAAAATCAAACAATTATACCAAACATAAAAACATGTTCAAATAATCAAACATGATATAATACAATAAAACCATATATTGTATATTCAATCAGATTTCCAATGGTGAAACACGAGAGCTTTGTGCAAGGAGTACGATGCATCTTCACGATACTAACTTAAAATCAACCAGAGCAATCCCTAGAATTTATTACTCTCACTTATAACTATACATGGCACTGATCACATACAGATACTGAGGAAATTCCTACCAATGGCTTATGTTAAGCATACATATCTTGGGTGTGTTCACTTTATTGCTGCTGTAACTTGCCCTAGTGATACAGATCACCAAACTTTCCATTATGATGGATGATTCTTTGCCAAGCATGTTAGCCATACTTTCTTAACAACAACAAATTTGTGCATTTAACAATAAGCCACTATTTAAAGTTAAATAATTCAGATACAGAAAATCCCATTCTAATTCGTTATTCCTCATCAAACATTCCGCTAATTCAACCCAAGAATTATGATGTACAAAGGCAATGTTTACAAAAAAAAAAAGTGCTTTCAAAAGTTGGTGTGTTGTGTAAAAGATTGGAATTCGGAACAACTAGTCTAACCCTATCCCTAAGCGAAAAGCACACGGTCTATTGAACAAAACAAAACATGGGTTTATAGCAAATTGATTCAAAGAAACAAAAGAATAAGGAGAAAGCGAGAATTTAATCACCGTCTCCAATTTTAAGCTCTGCGGCGTTTTCTTCCTCTTCCCCAGACATGTTTAAAGAACGAGAACAGGCACAAGAGAATGCTAGGAATAAAACGACGAGAGCTTCAGCGTTTTGGTTCTGAATAATAGCTTTCTGAGATGTCTAATACTTTCGTTTAAAGACATAGCGATTAGCGAGTATTTATAAGTGCACGGGCCGTCAAATTTTAGGCCTAGAGCCAGTTTTTTAATTTAAGTTTTATTTTTTATAATTAATCAATTTTTTTAATTTTAATTTTTAAATAATTAAATTTAATTATTAAGTAATTTTATCAATGATAATTCATTTGATCACTATTTTATAACATATTTTTAAATATTTAATTTTGAAAAATGATAATAAAAATAATTATAATATTATTTATAATATTTTATAAATATGTATTGTACGTATTTAAAAGAAGTATTTTTAAATAAATTTAATCTTTTTAGTGGAATACTAATTGATTTTGTTATTATTTTTTAGTAATTTCAAATTAGAGAAAAAAAATTCATGATCAATAATATAAAATTAATATAATAATTTTTAAATATTATTTATTAAAATTCAAATAAATTTTAGAGTCAGAGGTTTTGTGTTCACATGGTTGATAAGGTGAAAGGATGTGATGAGAGAAAAGATACGTTATTAAATTTTGATTCGATAATGTCTTTGACTATCTTACTGTTTCATGCATATTTTTTCCAAAATCCCTTTTTGTAATCATTAAGAAACATTAAATACGAGAAATGCATTTTTAGGTAAAAGATGATAGTTTTTATTCACAACATATTAATGAAATGATAATGAAATGATAGACGATGCATGTAAATGTCAGCTTAAGATGATGCATGATAGATGAAACATATCTAAGATGATGTAACAATGATGCTTAGTTTGGGATGCATTTCAAGTTGAGATGGTTCTTAATGAATCTAAAGTATTCTTCAACCAAAACTTTGGTAAATATCTCATTCCATTGATGACTAATATATATAAACTTTATGTCAAAATCTCGTTTTTGTACATAATCTCAAATGAAATGATATCTTATATCAATGTGCTTAGCGTTAAAATATTGTATGGGATTTTTTTGGATAAATTGATAGCACTAGTATTATCACAGTGTATAGGTATATTATGCTTAAGATTAGAATAGTCTTCTAATTGATATTTCATAGTAATTGTGAACAATAACTAGCAGCAAAAATATATTCAACTTCTACAGTAGAGAGTGAGATGAAGTTTTAGTTCTTACTTGCCTAAGAAATGAGACAAGGACAAAAAAAAAATCCTCCACTTGTGTTTTTTCTTTCCATTTTGTCACCGATATAGTCTGCATCACTATATATTGCCAACTTGAAATCTTTGTTTTTCTCATAACACAAACTTAGGTTAGTAATATTAGCAAGTTATCTAAAAAATATGCTTTATTGTCTTAAAATGAGACTCTTTGGGATCAAATTGAAAACATGCACAAAGATATATACTACACATAATGTCAAATCTGCTAGTAGTAAGATATAGAAGTGAACCAATCACACCTTTATAAATTGTCTAATCTAATGGTTTACCTAATTCGTCTTTTGATAGTCCTATAGAAAAATGCATAGGTGTAGGCATAGTTTTGCAGTCATTCATTTTTAACTTAGAAGCTCTTTTGTATATTTTTGTTGATGAATGAATTTGCCTTCAACTACTTGTTTGATGTGTAGTCCTAATGTAGAATTTGAGTTCACCCATCATACTCATTTCAAAACCTATCTACATGAACTTAGAAAAATCCTTATATAGAGATTCATTAGTAGTGCCAAAAATAATGTCATTTATATAAATTTGAACTACTATAAAATCTGTGCTAGGCTTTTTTCTAAAAACAGTTGTGTCAATCTTGCCTATAATAAAACCAGTTGATCAAGAACTTGCTTAATATATCATACCAAGCTTTAGGATTTTGCTTCATACCATAAAGAGTCTTTTTGAGTTTAAAAACATTATCTTTTAAAGATGGGTTTTCAAAAATTAGAGGTTGTCTAACATAAACTTACTCTTACATAATTCAATTTAAAATGACATTCTTTACGTCCATTTGAAATTTTTTTAATATCTTTATGAATTGCAAATACTAGCATAATAGCTTCAACTTTAGTAATAGATGCAAACCTTTTACTGAAACCTATATCTTCTTCTTGGTTATAGCCTTGAGCTACTAATCTAGATTTATTTCTTACTGTAGACCCCTAAAATTGTCCGGATCGGAAATAAAGCTTCAAGAGGAAAACCTAATTCACATCAAGGTACGTGTACTATATATATGAGATGTCTACACTATCAAACACTAACTTTAGCATCGGAGTCTCTTTTGCAGGTACCACCCCCACCTCGGAGCAGCCGACGTACCTAGCAAAGGAGGCTCACCAATCTTGCCCAGTAGATCGCCCCTCTCGACCGATCTTTGGTAAGAACATTTGGCGTCCACCGTGGGGCCGATCAAGAATTCTCTTATCGGCCACGCTTATGGTTTTCACCCGAAGCCATAGAAGAAGAGCAACAGACGAAGCAGAGCAACAAGCATCCAGGATGGAAGGAGAAGTGACCCTACGACGGCTGATCGAACATGTTGAACAAATGCAGCAGCGAGACACCGCCGACTTGGAGAACATGCGCATTCGGGCCCAACTCCACCAACATCCCCCACACGTACCTCCTCAGCCAAGCAATCACCACGAGGAGGAACACCAATTGGTCTCTCTACCACCGATAGCACCCAGAACAACCACCCACCGGTCGGCGACTCATCGATCACGTGTGCCATCACAAAGAACGGATCATGAAGTCAGCAACACACCGACCTTGGCTCAGTCACAACTAGCTAATGTCCACCGCTACCCCTTCGTGGATGGCATCATGGAGACACCTCTCCCCTTTGGATGGAAGCCCCTGAACATTGATAGATATGACGGCTCTACCGATCCTGATGAGCACATCGACCTCTACATCACCTAGTTGAACCTTTACACTAACGATGATGCCATCCTGTGTCGGGTCTTCCTGACCTCACTAAAAGGATCGACACTCGCATGGTATACCCAACTACCACCAGGGTTAATCAACAACTTTGACACCTTGGTCAGGCAGTTTACGGCACAATATGCAATAAATCGACCCACCACATCACCTCGGCTACCTTAGCCAACCTCCGGCAAGGCGATGATGAGCCGTTGCGCAAATTCATGGAGCGATTTGCCAACATCGCCATCAAGATCTGCAACCTGAAACCTGAGGTCACCCTACACGCCATGCTCATGGCGCTCAAGTCGGGTCCCTTTGTCGATAGCCTTTGTCGGCGACCTCCCTCGGACATGGACGAGCTCCGTGCCCAAGCCGCCGGATACATCCAGATGGAGGAGCACACAACATTCCATGACCAAGTCCATGGAAAGCCACAAGGGAAGCAAGACCACGGTCACAAAGACAAGATGAGAGTCTCCAATGACAACCAATTCAAAAAATCTTGACAGAATAAAGGTGGGAAGTATGACTTCTACACCCCCTTGAACGCGCCCCGAGTTCACATCTAGAGGAAGCTAGTAACACCGACCTGATTACCATGTCACCACCGGGACACAGCCCCAACAGTGCTGAAAAATCCAAACATTACCGATACCATAGAAATTACGGTCACACAATCGAGGAATGTCGAACACTCAAGGATCGCATTGAGGAACTCGTCCAAGGAAGACACCTCGGATAGTACGTCCAACGGTCACAATCTAATAAGGGAGGCTACCATGGATATGGGCGCGGACGCGGATGAGGTCGGGCCTCTAACGCCTGGACAAACCAACCCTCCGGATCCCAACGAAACATCGGCAGGGCTGTGCAGGCCGAGGTAAGTCATGACATAGGTAACACTCCCTTACGCGGAGTCATCAATACGATTGCAGGTGGCTTCATAGGGGGTGGTTCAAGTATCTCAGTATGCAAAAGACACCTGCGTAGTATCAATAATGTCCATGTTGACACCTTAGCCCCACCGCGCAACACACCACCAATTACCTTCACAGATGACGACTACGTCGGCACCTGCCCAAACCAAGATGATGGTCATTGCTGTTGAAGTAGCCAACTGGGAAGTCCACAAGACGTTGATTGACTAAGGAAGCTTAGCTGACGTCCTATATTGGCCAACGTTCTTAAGGTTAGACATCCCCCATTCTCTCATCCAACCTCACACAGAACCGCTAGTCGATTTTGCAGGTGAACGTGTCCACACTCGGGGATACATAAAGCTGCTAACAACCTTTGGGACCCCCCATCTAAAAAAGAATCATGGTTAAATACCTCCTCGTCGATGCCACTCACCTCAAGTTTTATTTTAGCTAAATTGTACAAATAGGGCGTTGCACTCTTTTCCCTGCTCAGTTTTTTCTCCCAAAAGATAGAAAAATGGGTTTTGGCTGAAAGGGTTTTAACGAGGCACACCCACAACATCAATAAGAATGACTCACTTCACTCATACTTCTTCAATCTCACACTATCTAGCCTATATTAAGCCAAGGTCGAATTCGAACCTTAGCGGGACTCATATTAAGCCAAGGTCAAATTTGAACCTTAGCAAGACTTATATTAAACTAAGGTCAAATTCGAACCTTAGCGCGATTTACACTAAACCAATGTCGAATTCAAACCTTAGCGCGATTTACACTAAACCAAGGTCGGACTCGAACCTTAGCGCGATTCACACTAAGCCAAGGTCGAATCTGAACCTTAGCAAGACTTATATGAAACTAAGGTCGAATTCGAACCTTAGCACGATTTACACTAAACCAAGGTCGAATTCGAACCTTAGCGCGATTTACACTTAATCAAGGTCGAACTCGAACCTTAGGACATTCACACTAAGCCAAGGTCGAATCTGAACCTTAGCAAGACTTATATTAAACTAAGGTCGAATTTGAACCTTAGTGCGATTTACACTAAACCAAGGTCGAATTTGAACCTTAGCAAGACTTATATCAAACTAAGGTCGAATTCGAACCTTAGTGCGATTTACACTAAACCAAGGTCAAATTCGAACCTTAGCAAGACTTATATCAAGCCAAGGCCGAATCCGAACCTTGGTGAAATTGACACTT